CTACAACACATGTACAACACACGTGTATAACACACACTATACAACGACACACACGTGTACAACACACACGTGTATAACACACCTATCCATACGTGTTAACAAACATATCTATACAACACACACGTGTTAACAAACACACGTGTATAACACACTTATCCATACGTGTTAACAAACACACCTATACAACACACACGTGTACAACAACTCACACGTGTACAACACACACGTGTACAACAACTCACACGTGTACAACACACACGTGTACAACACACACGTGTACAACTCACACGTGTACAACAACTCACACGTGTACAACACACACGTGTACAACAACTCACACGTGTACAACACACACGTGTACAACACACACACACGTGTTCAACACACACGTGTACAACACACACACGTGTACAACACACACACGTGTACAACACACGCGTGTACAACACACACGTGTGCACACACACACGTGTACAACACACACGTGTTCAACACACACGTGTACAACACACACATACGTGTACAACACACACACGTGTACAACAACACACACGTGTACAACACACGCGGTGTATTGAGCGGTGACTCCAGCTGACCGCCTCTTCACCTGGCCACGTGAACGCGCCACCTTCACACGGGCGCCACCTGCTGCCCTCTCCCCCGAAACACCCCCTCACCCTGACCTAACCCTGACCTCACCCTCACCCTGACCTCACCCTGACCCCACCCTGACCTCACCCATCCTGACCTCACCCTGACTCCACCTCACTCTGACCTCACCCTGACCTCACCTCACCCTGACCTCACCCTGACCCCACCTCACGCTGACCTCACCCTGACCCCACTGACCTCATCCTGACCCCACCTCACCCTGACCTCACCTCACCTTGAGCCCAGCTCACCGCTGACCTCACCCTAACCTCACCCTGACCTCACCCTAACCTCACCCTAACCCCACACCCTGACCTCATCGACCTCACCCCTAACCTCACGCTAACATCAAATCCACGCCGCTCATTGGCTCCCTGCTGTACACGGATTTACACGGCTGTGCTACTTTGCTGAACCCTAGTTGGTTGTGTTTGCTCTCATGATTTCTATTCGCTCCATTGCTCTACTGTATGGCTGTGCTTGTCATCAGTGGTGACCCAGGCCACTACTGCGAATGCAGCTCCTCTATCCTCGTCTCTCGGGAACTTACCTGGTACACAAACTTGACAAGCGCTGTGGCCAACGCATATTAAGGTCGGCACACCACCCCACACGGTCCTCGCAGAACTCCACTGATGTTTGTACGCTGCACCACGTATTAATTTGAGGCTGAGTCGACCTACGGGCTGGGGTCCACGATCGGTTCAGATATTCACCGCTGACGTTCGCCATGAGCGGTGGCGAGATGTTAACTCCCTCACCTGGTATATAGGTCGTGGGATCGATCCCGACCCCGACACCTGCATATTTTGAGTTTGCGTGTGCTACCCGTGGTCGCATGGATTGTTCTCCAGATCCTCTGTTTTCCCTCGACATTTAGAAACATTCGTTTCGTGTTTCATTCATTCATCACAAATGGTCAGCGAATTAGCGTGGCACCAAACGTGTGGCCTCTTGCGACAGCATTCGCATCAAGTGCTCTTGCGGCCATACACCGGCGTCTCGAGCGATCTGTTTGATCCACGTCTCAAGGGGGCGGCCACGGGGGCGGCGCCATTCCTTTGAGGGTCGCAGTCCTCGCTTCGAACGTCGACCGCCAACTGAAGCGGCGCGCGGTTTGCTGCAGGAGTTTGCGCATCAAGACGGGGCAACGTGTCCAATGAGCGACAGCCATCTCCCTCGAAATGAGCTCTCAATGGCGAGGAGGCCGGTCGCAGATGCAACCGTGATATTTCTGACGAAGTCGAATCATTGGATGCCAAAAGACGTCTTTGGCATCGCAAGTGGAAGGACTGCTGCCGATCCAGATAGGCTTCCACCAATGTCCAGGCCTCCGCACAATTACAAACACTGACACCACGCATCACTCGTACTCTCAATTTGGTACCCGGACTTAAAACGTTGCTGGGACCAAACGCAGTTCAGACCGTTCATGATTCCTGAGGCCAGGCCAAACCGGCGCATGGCATCAGGTCGACATCGTCTGTGCAGATCTCGGCAGAGAAGTTCCTCCGCTGCTTCGACAGCATTGCCGTTGCTTACGCAGGGTGCGTATGGAGGTCGGGAGCCCAAGTTCTGGAATTTTGTTTCATTTAGTCCAGATTTTCTTGCACTGTTGTGGAAATATTGGAGGAATGTTGTGCATCTGTTTCAGGCTTCTCAACCAACAAACAAGGCTGCATCATCAGCGGAGTCGAGGTCAGTGGTTGCGGCTAACCCCGACTCCAAGGTCATGGGTCATGTTTTAATAGATCCAGTCGATCGCCCGATAGAAGAGCGCCGGTGTGAGGACGCATCCTTGACATACTCCAGATGTGGTTTAGAATCGTGGCGATGGTCCGGACCAGACATGAATCTTTGCGCTTGTGCCTGCAAGTAGATCTTTCACAAGGTTCAGCAGGATGCCTCGGACCCCAATTGCTCTCCAAGCAGACCAGAGTCAATAGATCCACAGTCAAAAGCCGCCTAAAAATCCAAGTAAAAGCGACATGCAATGGGCAGTCGCTGTCGTTCTGCAAGTCGGCGGAGTCCAAGCACAGCATCCATTGTAGCTCGAGCAGCTGTGGAGCCTGAATGCTCTGCGCGACAGTGTTGTGTCAGGAACGGTTGCAGCCTGCCCAGAAGTAGATGTGCAAAAACCTTTCCCGGTACTGAAAGAAGGGATATTGGTGCATAATTGCTGCATGCCATATGCGATCTTTTCCCTTTGTACAGAGAAATAATTATACTGTCACTCCAATCAGTAGGTACCTTGCCAGACATTCAGACCTTGATAAAGAGCCGATGTAACCCTCTGCTGATAGGATGCAAGCACCTTGGTGTTTGCTGCTTTGCATTTCCACAAAAGACACTTCGTTAGGCTGTCATTTATGGCTAGGTGGCTTCTCAACAAAAGCTATAGCTCAGTAGGCCTTACCTGGTAAAATAAGTTGTTTCATTTAGAACTTAGGTCGCAGGGTTTGAAGCGCAGCGAGCCAATGACTTCGTCACCGCTCCCCACGACACGTACAAAGACACTCAAGAACTCGCACAGACACACACAGGACGAGATCCCCGTGAAGCCGTTTACAAGACTGCTGTGGCGAGTGCCGTTAGCGAGTAGCTATGCGGGGCAGGCACACACGTGGCGGTACTACTACCCTCACCACGGCAACCGTGCCAGGTTGTACCTCGGCGTGCTGCCTGGCAAGGCGATGTGGAGTCGCCTTTGCCGGCTCTCTTGAGATGCCCGCTCGTTGCCGTCAGGCCTGTGTACGTTTCATTTCCTATTTACGCGGTCAGTTGGCATTAAGTCCCCATATTCGGCAGCCACCAAAGATTCTTCATCGGCCCACTTGTTTTTTGGACCAACCCAAATGGGAAAATGAGATCGCATGGCCATTTGGGCCCAGTGTGGTTACAAATGCCTGGGCCAATTTTTAGTCCCAGTCCATCACTGGTTGTTGCTATTATCGTGGCCACCCCCCTTGGATGACGCTCCCGAACCCCAAATCCTAGGGAACCCCCATCCAGCCTGCGCTCAACCTCCACGTGGCACTGGATATGGACTCTCAGCCTCCATGCTAGCTCTTCGCATCTCCTCGGCGGATGGCCGAGCCTTCGAGCCCAGAGCAGATGTCCCACCTGTCTGTACAACACGAGGTGGCATCACTTTCGGGTTGGATGGCCAGCACCACGCCGGGCCGCCTTTGTCTCCATAGTGGCTATGTTTACATTTTTCACCAGGGACTCATGTGAAGCTGAGTCAACCTACTGGTATTGGCCGTTTACAGGAATACAACTCAGGTTGACAGGATCCTATCACAGTGCGCTAACCACTACAGTACCGCTCCTCACACACAAACACCCACACACCCACATACACAAACACACTCGCACCCACAAACACACTAGCGGCAATAAACACACGCGCGCACACACACACACGCGCACACACACACACGCGTGCGCGCACACACACACACTCCCCCACAAACACACTCCCCCACAAACACCCATCAGCATAGAACACGCAGGACAGGTTGTGGACACGAAGCCAGCACGGGCAGTCACGTCCCGCGAATCAATCCCATGTGGTGTGCGTGCGCCAATTACCGAGGAAAGCTTTATTATTATTATCATCATCATAATTATTATTGTAGTAAGATTGGCTGATACACGAGAAAGAGATGCAGTTCGGAAGGATTAGAGAACACAGGACTCCCAACAAAACCCAAATCAGTTGACGGCACTCCACCGCGGGAGGGCCACGGTGACCCCAACCCCCCGGCCGTGACCCCACGCCGCGGCTGCCGACGAGACGTCGCGAAATGACCCCGAGTATCACGACCGCACCTTAAAAATCAAACCGACGCCCAGGAACGCGGACAGAGGGGAGACTAACCGAGCCTGTACACACGCGCACACATCCGCACGCTCTCCTGCTCGAGCCTCTTCCAGTGGAGGGAGGGGCGGAGCGCAACGGGGAGCAGCAAGGGGACCCTGCGGCTGACGTTCCCTTGGCGGGGGACGGAAGCCGGGCGGGCAGCGAGAAGTCCGGCCCGTTAACGTGAAGCCGGGGGGAGCGGGATCGTTGCTCATGGCCACTAATTACAAATACAGCAATCAACCAATCGAGCAGCACGGGAATCCCAGCTCCCACCTACGCGGAGTGGATGATGGCTGCTGCTGCTGCCGCCGCTGGGTCCCCCTCCTCCCCAGCCGCTTCACTCCGCGACCCTCAACCTGGGCAGGACTCGACTGCTCGCTGCTGCGCCAGGGGTGGCCTAAAATTAGCAACGGGTTAATCGGGGCTGAGGCGTTCCAAATAGCAACAAATAGGGCAAACATCGATGAATAATCAGTGACGTTTGTTGGTCCACACGATGTGACATCGCATTGATTTATAAGCATCGAGGGAGCGAGTTTAACCCTGGCGAGTTCCCTCTTACGGGTGCGGTCGAGTTGCGAGTCACTCGGGCATGGTGAGGGCGCTCGCCGATAAACCCACGGCCTCCGAATGACCGAACTAAGTGAGGATATTAAGACTGAGGGGAGCCCGGTCGCCTTTGGACAGCAGAAGGGGGGGCACAGTCAAGAGGTGGTGGGGGGGGGTTGATGAGACGGCACTCAGCATAAAACCGCGGCTTTCCTCATGGTCCAGACGACACGAGCACCACGACCACCAGCGCTTCAGCCCACGCGCCCATTCTGTCGCACTCCCTCGTCACTCGCTCGCTCCTCCACACTCGCACGCTCGTTCGCTCGCTCCCCCACGCTTGCAGCAGGCGCATGGTTCTTCTTCTACGCAAGCGCTATTCATGGCCTGGCCGCTGTGTGCACAGTCTTTTCCGAGTCCGCAGAGCACCAGGCGGGGGTGGCGGTGTAGAGTGGGGGTGGGGGGGTGGTGACGTCCGTCGCTGTGTCCACCCGTCCTCGAGCCTCCACACCGCTGGAGCTCCATTTGGAAATTTACAGGATTCCCTCTGCTGCGTGGAAACTCTCCGAGGCAGCCACCACGCAACCCTCCCAGCGCCCCCCCCCCTCCACTCCCCTCCCCACCCCCCGTCGTGACCGGGCACCCGATCTCAGTCACTGGCAACGAGGCACTGCTCCGATTTTGCATAAAAACCTCAAGCTTCTCCTGCTGCCGGGCACGACCTCCGCCGCGTCGGAGGGGCCGGGGGGCGAGTTGGTGGCGGGGCGGAGGCCCCGTGACCCCCACCGCCTCGGAAGAATGAAACAAAACAAAAAAATCCCTCGCTCGCAACGGACGCGCTCGGCTCTGCGAACGAGCGAGGCAACCCACACTTCACCGCCCCTCCCCGGGCCCCAGGGGCACCTCCCCCATGGCGTGCGACGCCATCGCCATCTCGGGACGCCCAGAGACGGCGGCAACGGAGACGGCGGCGGCGCCCGCGGCCGGGGGGAGTGGGGGGGGGCGGCGCCCCAAGTGCACGGCGTTCGCCGCAAGTCCTCGTAGGAACGACGTCCGCGCGGCGTGGGGGCGCGGAGGGGAAGGGAGCGGGGGGGGGGGGTGGCGTCACCTTCATCCCCGCCGCCCCTGCCCTCCCGACGCCGCGACCGCCTCCGCGCGACCGGCCCCTGGTCGCCGCGCAGCCGCGGCCGCTACTTGGTGAAGGCGGCCACGACGGCCCAGAGCACTTCGCTGGCACCGGCCTTGGCGCTCTCGACCTCGGGCTCGAGCTCGAGCAGAGAGCGCACGCGCTTGGTGGCCGTCTCGTACTGCTCGTCCGCCAGCGGCGCAAACGCGTTCTCCAGCACGTCGCTGGCGTGCGCCAGCAGCACGAGCGCCAGCGTGCGGCGCTCGAGGCGCGCCGCGTCGTTGCTCCACCGGTCGAGCACCGACTCCTGCACCTTGCGCACGAGGCGCTGCTTGATGTTGTTGTTGGTGAGCGGGTGGGTGGTCATGTCGAACAGCAGGAAGTTCTGCTTCTCTGTCGTGAGGACCCCCTTTTCCACCAGGCTCTTGGCGAGGCGCTCGCGCACGTTCCGCAGCTGGTAGTGCAGCTTGAGCGGGTTCCACGTCTCGCCTGCGCCGCACAGTCGCACGCCGCTCAACGCGGGGAGGGGGCAGCGGAGTGGGGGGGAGATGGTGCGGGGGGAGAGCTAAGGGGGCGCCGCCTTATGCCCGCGAGCTACTACGGGCGCAGGGCGACGTGAACGTGGGCCGCGAGGCGTGGTGGGAACGGGACGGGCGGCTGCTCGACAACGGTTCCACCGTAGGGGAAGGCGATGGTGAGCGAGGGAGAGAGGCGGGAAGAGAGGTGAGAGGTGGATGTGGGGGGGGGGGGGTGAGCAGTGATGGCTGAGGTGTACAGCGGTGAAGGGTGAGGTGTTTTAAGTGTGGGGTTAAAAATTCAAGGCAAGGCGTTAGATGTGAGAAGGGAGACTTGAGCATTTAGAGGCGAGGGGTTAAGTCGAGCCGGAAGGATTACAAGGTTAGAGGTCATGAGTTAAAGGAAAGGGGTTAGAGGTGAGGGCTGAGGCATTGGAATTGAGGGATTAGGTTTGGTTTAAGGAGCGTGTTAGAGTGAACATTCAAGTGAGTAAGCGAGTGACCGTGGGAGTGAATAAGTGTGAGTGAGCGTGTGAGTGAATGAACATGCGAGATGGAACATGCTAGAGTGAACTTGTGAGCGTGAACGTGCGAGTGTGTGAGTGAGCAAGCGAGTGAACGTGCGAGTGAACGTGCGAGTGAACATGCGAGTGAATATGCGAGTGAGTGAGTGAGCAAGTGAGTGAGCATGCGAGTGAGTAAGTAACCATGTGAATGAGCGTGTGAGCGAGTGAGTAAGTCAGCGTGTAAGTACGTATAAGCGCGCGAGTGAGTGTGCGAGTGAGTGTGCGAGTGAGCGTGCGAGTGAGCGTGCGAGTGAGCGAGCAAGTGAGTGAGCATGCGAATGAGTAAGTAACCATGTGAATGAGCGTGTGAGCGAGTGAGTAAGACAGCGTGTAAGTACGTATGAGCGTGCGAGTGAGCGTGCGAGTGAGCGTGCGAGTGAGTGAGCAAGTGAGTGAGCATGCGAGTGAGTGAGCAAGTGAGTGAGCATGCGAGTGAGTAAGTAACCATGTGAATGAGCGTGTGAGCGAGTGAGTAAGACAGCGTGTGAGTACGTATGAGCGTGCGAGTGAGCGTGCGAGTGAGTAAGACAGCGTGTGAGGGAGCGTGCGAGTGAGCACGCACCACTCAGCAGCTCGACCCAGGTCTGCACGGTCTCCTGCGGCGTTGTCTCCTTGATGTGCTTCAGGGCCTCGTCCAGCAGCACATCACCAGTTGGGGCGTCCGACTTGCACATCACCTGACCGGGGGATGCGTGGGGAGATATGCGGGGAGACAGCGGCGTTAGATAGATGGAGGGAGAAGAGGGGAGATGAAGGGAGAGGAGAGAAGAGGAGTTGAATGGAGCTGAAGGAAGAGAACCCCTAACCCACTAATCCAGTCCCTTCAACCAACCCCAACACTACTCGCGCAACAACCTGACCAATACCGTCAACCAATAAACACCACGGTGCAACACCAGAACAATGTAATTTAATACCATCAACCAACTAACCATAACCAATCCAACTTTGCCCATACACACCCTACCCAGGAACCCCACACCCCAATCTCCGGCAGTGTTGTGTGTCTACGCCTTGACTGGTTGTCTTGGACACCCCGCGTGACCCTCCATGCGAAAGTGCCCTGTGTAACCGTGCTTCAGGATTCTCTTTGCGCTCTGAAACTTGTGATGCTTGTTTGAGGCACTACGAATACAGCCCAACAACTACCATGACGCAATGATGTAATAACACCATATCCACACACACACGAAACAGCCCAACAAACCAACTTCCTAAAACACCCTAACCCAACAAAACACACTAAACGAATACATTACAACCCGACAACAGCACCACCTGAGCCCAACACACTCAACAAAAGAACACTTAATCCCAACTAACACTACAACCAATAAATACTCTTACCCAACAAACACCCTACACAAGTAAGCACTCGCAGAGAGCAGCAACACCACAACCCGCACCACCCCAACCCGCACAGCGCAGCAACACCCCAACCCGCACAAAGTGCAGCGGCGACAAGTGTGGGAGGGGGAGAACCTTGCGCGACAGGAGGCTCTTGCGTCGCATGCCGCAAGGCTCCAGCGTGATGCGGCCCCGCAGTGCCAGCTCCACCAGCATGCAGCCACGCAGCCCCGACGAGATGCAGTCGTTCCAGAACGACGTGTAGCCCTGCCGAGCACCGTGCGCACACGCGGACAGACGCACACACAGTCAGGCGGCGCCACTCTCATAGCGGTAACAAGGACGCCACTGCCACTGTTAATTGCAGGGTACTGGTGGCTATGCACGCGGACTGGGATTCGGCACTCTGGAAGCGGCGAGGGTTGGTCGAACACCGCATACATTTAGTAAAACTCCTTTCCTGTGGGTGTCGAGGAGGAGCTGTACCTTAGCTCGCCAGAAGGCAGTACATCAAAGTGCAAATATCATCTCTGCCTTCTGTATGGGGATACAGTGTTGCCCCCTTTTACATGTGAAATTTCTCAGGGTAGTCTGTTTTTCTCCCACATTTATGAACTCACCTCCAATGAGCACGGTTGGCTACGTACAGTGTAAAATAAGTTCAACATACATACATACAATTGGCTGAAAACACCTTAATATAGAGGACCGCAAAACTTGGCTATTGTTGGTGCCGGCTCACTGCCTGGCAGCCTTCCAGCTCGTCTCTAGTTCCTCGCCGACTGTAAGATGCAATTTGCTTGAAAATGACGATCACGACGCTACCGATAAAAGTAGAGCCAAGCCTCATGGTTAGGGTGTCCCTGTGGCAGGGAGGGTAGCGCTGATGCTCAGCGTGACAGATGAAGATCTCTGTAATCCAAATCCAAAATTTATTGGAATAACGTCACTGGAAAAACGTAATTGTTCCTGATTTTATGGCCACCTACGACGCTGGCACGCAATTGTAGAAACACTGACCAGACCATCATTGTGAATGCCACGCAAGGCTGTGGATGTCTATGTGAGTCTGTGAGCTTATATAAGTCTAGGAGTCTCCATGCAAGCTGATGGGAATCTCCACTTTGTCTATATAGCTTGTTAATGTTACAATAATCTCTAGATGGTGTACATGAGCGACAATTCCTGTACAATGTCTAGAGGCAAGGGGGTCTCTGTGCGAGACCACGCAGTAGAGACCCGCTGTGATCTCCATGCGAGTCTATGTGTCTCTGTGCGAGTCTATGGGCCACTTTGTGAGACCACACAGTAGTGACCCGCTGTGACCTCTCAGAATGCAGCAGAGACATTGAAGCAGCAATCCAGTGCACATCTACTCAGGAAGCCATGTCATGCCCATCTAAACCGTACACAAAAAGAGGTTCATATTTGTCCAGCCACATGCAACACGAAGGAGACCCCTGGGAGACTCAAGTTGCTCATGGTTCAACAACATAAAGCAGATGTGTTCAAAACGTCGCTTGAATTTTGTTTTTTCCGAAGGCGTTGTGAATGGCTGGATGGGGTCACGTGACCGTCAAGACAATGCTAAAAAAGTAAAAATTTCAGCGTAGACATTGTAATTTTTGAAGATGAATCTTTATTTAAAAATGGAACAAACTCCCCCTAGTTACTTTCCGCATATTTTCCTATTAATAACCTAAACGACATCTCGAAAATTCCCCAATTATTTTTATTCATAGGCCAATGTTGCACCTTTTAATGCCTAGATCTCCTGCCGGACTCCATCTGCCTGGCCATCCAGGCGAGAAGGGAGGGAGGGGAGTGGGGCTTCCCAGCGTCGATCGCACTCAAACTTGGACCTTGATCGAGTCTCATGTCTCAGTCGCGTGCTGCGGCGTCTCGCAAGTAAAAGCAACGGACTTGCAACGTCAAACCCAAGGGACACGTTGCCCAATGTTTAAATAAAGACAAAAAAGTTGTTCGCAGGGGGGTTGCTCCGCTCACAGTCGTGCCGACGCCACACGGGACGTGCGGCTGTGCCACACGGGACGTGCGGCTGCTCCACACGGGACGTGCGGCTGCCCTGCATGGGATGTACAGCTGAGCCACAAGGGACGTGCAGCTGCGCATCACGTGGCCTCGGTCTAAACCGCTTGGCCGAACCCCGTGGGCAGGGCCTGGCTCCCACTACCCACCGCCTCAACGACGGCGTTGAAGCAGGGCTGTACAACGGAACACGCGCACGGTGACCAAAGAAAACGCTCACCGCCACGGCGACGACCCGTGATGTCACGCAAGCGACAAGAGACTTAACAAAAGGGACACGTCACAACAAACGTGCTCATCGCAATCACTGCCTTTCGGCACGAAGGCGTGCGGCAGGATGGCATTTCAGGAAATGACCTTTCTCTCAGAGCAGAGATCTGACGTAAATGTAATTGACAGTCCTTTGTCGATCCACTGCTGGATGAAGGCCTAAACCATACCATGTCAGATATGGGGGATGTGAGACCACGTCCAAGTGTATTCTGTTTAACAAGGTGAGAAGTCAAGAGATCAAGATAATAATGAGTGAGATGAGATGAGTGTCAGGTTGATTTTGTGTAACCACGTTAGAATGGTGAATCTCATTTGCATGAGTGACCCGAGTCACCAAAACGATGGACAAAAGCAGAACAAAAGCACATCACTGAAGTAAATCTTTCACCACCCAAGTCACTGCTGGTTGGTAAAGATGAGGGGCATAGATATCAAGAGCATAGATATCAAGAGCAAAGTAAAGTACAAAACATAATTTGCCACTGCTCTCTGCTGCCCACCACGTAGTTCCACAGCAGCCTGTTTTGCACACGGCGGTCATGCATCGCCTCACTATCAGGGCTCAATCCTTGCTCCCAGCATCAAACGAGATGGGATGCACTCCTGGTGGTTTGGTCACAGGCAGCACCTCGATAATATTCTCCAATTCAACAAACTCGCCAGTTCTTATCTTACATGCGATCGCCAGTGCTCTCTGCAGCTGCAAATTACAGGACTTTGGACCGGTGTTTGGCGATTGGGATAATAAACAAGGCAGCAAAGGTCTTCTCTTGCATTGGGTTGTCAAGGGCTTTGCTTGACCATACTTTACCAAGCTAGTGTGGATTGGGGAAGGTGGTGGGGGGTGGTGAGGACCAGTCCAGATTTCAAGTCACTCTCCATCGCTGACGTTGGTCGTAACCGTGAATCGTACTCAGGCCGCTGGGTTCCTGATGCGGTGCACTAACTGCCGTGCCGCTGCTCCACTCCCATTTCTTAGGCGGTCTTAACGATGAACAATGGTGAGTTGACCTCTGAGTGTTCACCACTGCCAAGGCAGGCGATGTTAGTTATTTCATGTTTGAACAATGTCACGATTACTGTAAAAATACAGAAATAGGAATTTGTGAAACGCATGCCACGTACTAAATTGAGCAGGCACAGCACATAAATCTCAGGTACACAGTAGACACAAACAGAGGTAGATACTACACACACACACACAGGTACACTGGATTAGCCCACCTCATGTTACAGGTCCTGTCGCTGTGTAGCAAAGAGGGGAGGGGTAAGGTGTGGCGTGCACCTGCCCCCAGGTAACAGGACACTGGCACATACCATTTACTCTGGTGGGTAGGGGAAATTGTGCCCTCCACCAGTACCATTACCGGCGCTGCCACTCGGTAACTGGATGATGTCCAGGCGGTTAGTGGACGATGTGCAGGCGAGCCGTGTTTTGACTCTCGGCATCACCACCGCGGCAAAAATCAGCAGCGACCTTTGCACCGCACGTGAGAGTATCACGTACGGCACCAGCTTCACGCCCTCCATGCTCTCAGGGCACAACATTGTGCCGCCACTTCCCGGTGGGCCTTGCCGGCACCCCACGGGGAGGGAAGAAGGACTCGGCAGTGGCGGCACGTTTCCACCGCTCACGCCTAGACACTGGGTAACGCACACAAACCGGTTGGACCGCTCAGGCTACTAAAGCGAGATGGCTTTTCTTTAAGAGCGGAAAGTCAACTCATTTAAAACCCGGCGCCCCCCTCCCTCCAGCTCATTCTTGTCATTGTTGGGCGACAGAAGCAAGGGGCGCCCCTGGGGCTGCTGGGCTGCTCCTCAAAATCAGCGATTCTGCATTACGACCACAAGCTGTTTCACAATCCCTGCCGCCGTCGAAACAATCTCACTCACTTTACAATCCCGATCTCTCGTTCAGCACCTGGTTGTCTAGTGATAATCCCAGCAGCTGTCTTCGCGAATCCATGGGCGTCTGTTTAAAATTATTCCACTCTATGACATTACAATCCCAGAAACTGACATTAGAAATATCAGGCCCACTTTTACACTGATACGCTTTCAAATTTTGGCTATTCACATTAAAATATCATGCCCTATATCAAATCACAATTCCACACTGCCTCTATATTAACCAGGCCTTTTTATTAAAACTCCAGGATCCTCCAAAAGAATCTCAGCCACTCTCTCCACAATCTCTGGCCCTCCTTACTGCACAACCATGTAAATGACATCAATCCAAACTCTGTATTAATCCCACCCGCTCACTTCACAACTCCTCCCCTTATAAACTGGTGAGTTTTAATCGCGGTCACGCCAGTGCTCTTGGCCTTTTTACAGCCCGCGCACACACACAGTACGTAAATATTGCGTTACACACTCACAAGACACGGCAGTGAACACGTCAAACACACACTCGCATACACCCAGATCCGCCAACATTTGATCCCCGAAGAGGGGGAGTAGGGGGCGGAGATGGTGAGCATACGGCACTAAAAACTCAGCTTAGTTCGATTCTCGGCCACGGTTAACATCAGTGGCGCGTGTGATACATGAAACAGTCCATCAACCAGCACTGGCCAGTTTCCTAAAGGGTTGTGATTGTAATTTAACATGACTCCAGGACACGTTCACAACGCGTGTGTAAGCAGGTCTACCAAGTCCGCTGCTACACAGCCAGTGTATACACATGTCCGCGTCCACACCCATGTGTACACACAGGTATGTACAAGGACGCGTATACATAGTACCTAGTGTACACTGCCCCCCACCCCCACCGTGTGTATAGTGTACATGCTCATTGCCAACCTGGCCATGGGCACACAGGTAAAGAGGGTTTATGTAAAGTGGGTGCAGATGACGTAGATCGAGTGAGGGGAATCCGGGTGAGGGATTCCAGGTAAAGGGGTCCTAGGTGAGGAGTTGCTGTGGCAGAAGCCAGGTGAGGTGACCCGGCTGAGCCGTGTGACCTCGGGTGGGTGACCCAGGTGACCCAGCTGAGGCGGGTGACGCAACTCTGGCGAGAGGACCGAGGGAGCCATGGGGAAGCAGGAAGTGGATACGAGTGAGCGTGGGGGGACGAGGCGTGAGGGTCAAGGGGACCCACGTGAAGGGGTCAAGGGGACCCACGTTGTGTGCCATTGTAACTGGTTCTGCCCCCTACCCCCTTCATACCCCCCCACACCTTTCTTCCCATGTCTCCCCGGATATCATAGTTCTTGGGCCACATCAATAACAGCTGCAGCAGCTTCTCCTTCATAAGCGAGAGGGGGTGATAGGCCCCATTCGAGGGCCTCCAGTTGAGGGGGGTTCAGGGTATGTGGAAGGTGGTGGGGGGCGCTGGAAATACACATGACTGGTGAGGGGACGAGGCTGCTGGGGTATAGGTGAGGAGGAAAGGGGGGCTCCGAACAAGAAACGAAAACGGCGGCGGTGGTGGTCCAAGTTGAGTGACATCCCCCACCCACCTCTCCCCCACATGGGTGCCCCCCCCCCCCCATGGGTGCCCCCCCCGCCACATCCCCTCACCTCGCGATCCTTGAGGCCCAGCAGCAGCACCTCCTCCATGAGCGTGAGGCGCGTCTCTTTGCTGTCGCCTTTGTCGTCGGCGTCGCGCGCCCCGCCGCCGCCGCCGCCGAGCTGCTCGCCGCCGGCGCCCGTCAGCTCGTCGGGGCCCTCGTCGCCCGACTCGCCGCCGCCGCCGCCCGCCGAGGAGGAGGCCGCGGCCGCCGAGCGCCTCTGCACGAGCCCCGAGCTGCGCTGCGTGAGCGTGGTCGTCATGGCCGCGACGAGATGGGAGACGGGACGGAGAGAGGGTGGGAGGAGAGAATGAGGCGATACGATGGAGGGTGGACGAGGTGGACGAGGACGAGGTGGACGAGGACGAGGTGGACGGCGCGGGCGGCGGAGGAGACTCGAGGAGCCGCGGCTCAGCGGCCCGACAACAACATGGCGGCCGTGACGTCACGCGGGATGTGGCAGCAGCGGCGGCGTCGTCCAGGCGGGGCAGCGGCTCTGCCGAGCGAGTCGATCCGGGCCCCCCGCCTGCTCACCCCCCCCCCCACTCACACGCCCCGCCGTCTCCGAGAATCGGGGATCGACCCGATCGGCAATCTCCCCATTGCTTCTGCGGCCTGGCAGCGGGGGGAGGGGGAAGTGTGTGTGTCTGTGTGGGTGTCTGTCTGTGTGTGTCTGCGTGTGTGTGTTTCTGTGTGTGTCTGTGTGGGTGTCTGTCTGTGTGTGTGTGTGTCTGTCTGTGTGTGTCTGTCTGCCCGCTCACGGCCAACACCGGTGACGATTATCTGAACCGTTCCTGGGCCTCCCCGAGGTTGACTCAGCCTCAAATGAGTACCTGGTGCGGTGTGTAAACATCGCCACCGGGGATACAAAGGCGTCCGAGCGTGGTGTTGGCCACGCACCCCCTCGTGTGCCGTGCCGGCCTCTATAGGTGCTCGCTAGCAGCACTTGCCACAACAGTCTGGTCAGGCTATATGTCTTGATAAGCGACGTTTCGGGCAATGGCCCCTTCGCATTTGCGCACTGACTGAGTGCAGCCACTCACCCAAAAGACAGAGACCCCCCCCCCCTCCTCCGTATAGCCTTAACAGACTGTGAGGGCAAGTGCTGTTAGCGAGCACCTATGAAAGCCGGAATGGCACACGAGGGGGTGGGTGGCCAACACCACGCTCGGACGCCTTTGTGTCCCTAGCGGCGATGTTTACACACCGCACCAGGTACTCATTTTGAGGCTGAGTGTTGGTGGCCGTGAGCGGGAGTCGAACTCGGATCCACCCACTCACTCACCTACTCAGAACACTCACTGGCTCGCTCAACCACTCACTCACCCACTCACTCACCCACTCACTCACCCACCCACCCACTCACCCACCCATCCAACCAACCACCCACCCACCCACTCACCCACCCACTCACCACCCACTCACTCACCCACCCACTCACCCACTCACTCACCCATCCACTCACTCACCCACCCACTCACCACCCACTCACTCACCCACCCACTCACCACCCACCCACTCACCACCCACCCACTCACCCACTCACCACCCACCCACTCACCCACTCACCACCCACCCACTCACCACCCACCCACTCACCACCCACTCACTCACCTATCCACTCACCCACCCACCCACTCACCTATCCACTCACCCACCCACCCACTCACCCACTCACCCACTCACTCACTCACTCACCCATCCACTCACCCACCCACTCACCACCCAGCCACTCACCACCCACCCACTCACCACTCACCCACCCACCCACTCACCACTCACCCACCCACCCACTCAGCCACTCACTCACCCATCCACTCACTCACCCACCCACCCACCCACTCACCCACCCACCCACCCACTCCCCCACCCACTCACCCACCCACCCACCCACTCCCCCACCCACTCACCCACCCACTCACCCACCTATCTCACTCATCCACTCACCCACCCACTCACCACCTACTCACTCACCCACCCACCCACTCACCCACCCACTCACCCACCCACTCACCCACTCACCCACCCACTCACTCATCCACTCACCCACCCACCCACTCACCACCCACTCGCTCACCCACCCGCCCACCCACCCACCCGCCCACCCACCCACCCACCCACTCACTACCCACTCACTCACCCACCCGCCCACCCACTCACCCACTCACTCATCCACTCACCCACCCACTCACCACCCACTCACTCACCCACCCACCCACTCACCACCCACCCACTCACCCACCTACTCACCCACCCACTCACCACCCACCCACCCACTCACCCACCCACTCACCCACCCACCCACCCACTCACCCCACCCACCCACTCACCCACCCACTCACCCTTGCAAATGAGACCAATGCTGGTCTCTTGAGGTCTCCGCTGGTCACACGAACTCAACTCAACCCCAGAAACATCCGCGACGTTGTCCCCGCGGGCTCTCCACGTCACACCCCAGACAGGTCGACTTCTCCTGCACAGCAGGTTCACTTACACGGTAGTATTTACTTTGTAATCCTTTGAGCTTATTCAGTTAATCTTGGCTATTTATTGAAAGGTGTGTCTCTTACTATTAAACTAGTTTTAGTTTTACCTAGTAAGCCCCCACTGAGCTCTTTCTCAGAAGCAACCGGGCCACAAACGATAGCTCAACGAAGTGGCGTATCCCGTTGAAATGTATAGCAGGCAAATACTCTGAAAGCATGTGTATTCTAAACGTGGAAAGAAAAAAACCCCGCAGCACCTGAAGAAAATCTACGCTACGCGACCACGGGGAGAGAGAGAGAGAGAAACACGCAGACTCTAAATACAGCAGCAGGCATCGTCAGGGTCGGGATCGAACCCACGACCTCCTGCCTAGCAGGCGAGGTAGTCAACATCTCCTAGCCACCGTGATGATGATGAGAGAGAGAGACACGCAGACTCTAAATACAGTAGCAGGCATCGTCAGGGTCGGGATCGAACCCACGACCTCCTGCCTAGCAGGCAAGGTAGCTAACATCTCCTAGTCACCGTGATGATGATGAGAGAGAGAGACACGCAGACTCTAAATACAGCAGCAGGCATCGTCAGGGTCGGGATCGAACCCACGACCTCCTGCGTACCAGGCAAGGTAGTTAACATCTCCTAGCCACCGTGATGATGATTAGAGACACGCAGACTCAAAATATACAGCAGGCGTCAGGGTCGGGATCGAACCCACGACTTCCTGCGTACCAGGCGAGGTAGTTAACATCTAGCCACCTTGATGATGATGAGAGACACGCAAACTCACAATAAACAGCAGGCGTCAGGGTCGAGATCGAACCCACGACCTCCTGCATAGCAGGCGAGGGAGTTAACATCTAGCCGCCTTGATGATGATGAGAGACACGCAAACTCAAAATAGACAGCAGGCGTCAGGGTCGGGATCGAACCCACGACCTCCTGCATAGCAGGCGAGGTAGTTAACATCTAGCCACCTTGATGATGATGAGAGACACGCAAACTCAAAATAGACAGCAGGCGTCAGGGTCGGGATCGAACCCACGACCTCCTGCGTACCAGGCGAGGTAGTTAACATCTAGCCACCTTGATGATGATGAGAGACACGCAAACTCAAAATAGACAGCAGGCGTCAGGGTCGGGATCGAACCCACGACCTCCTGCATAGCAGGCGAGGTAGTTAACATCTAGCCACCTTGATGATGATGAGAGACACGCAAACTCAAAATAGACAGCAGGCGTCAGGGTCGGGATCGAACCCACGACCTCCTGCATAGCAGGCGAGGTAGTTAACATCTCCTAGCCACCGTGGGGACCGACTCGGGTTGCCCGAGTCTGGAGGAGACCCTCTCATGCGAGCACTGTGCCTGCCTATTTACAAAACTATTGATCGGGAAACACGTTTCGAGTGGTTCTCATCAGCCCCCCTTCCCCCCTTTGTGTAAACAAACAAGGGCTGTCTCCAGCTCTTCTTGTCCACTGTGTCTGGTATCACTATTTTATGTGCCGTGAAGAAGGGCCATTGCCCGAAACGTCACCAATGTTTCCTTTTAAGGCCACACACATGCGGTGTTATCGGCAGGCACCGTGTTGAGTTTTGTTTGGTGTTTATTGCATAAACCACGAGTATAAACAACAGCAGCAGCAGCACACACACGAACTCGTGTACACAAAGCACTCGGCTCTTGTACTCGATGCAAAACAACCATCGGTACTTCCTGAACAACTGCATTGTGGCCCTCTTGTCTTATAAACAATGTATTTATTTATTCAGGAAGACCACCCTGAGTCAAAGGACTCCTTTTAAGGAGGATCCTGAATTGAGTTTGTATTTTAAGTTGTGTTCAGCCAACCAATGACGAGTTGTGTTTATCATTCACGTGGGGGGAGGTAGGAGCCCGGAGCACCCGGAGAAAAACCAGGGCTTGGGCGAGGGGGCAACGCTCTATCCCCGTAGGGATTGAAACAGATGGCGATTAGTCCCACTTGCTGTCCCGCTGTCTGCTGGCGAGCCAGGGTATGGAACCTCCTCGACGCCCACCCACGGGGAGGGAGTTTCCCACCATCTGTGTGTGATCCACCAACCCTCGACGTCGCCTCCACAGTGCTGGGTCACAGGCCACGTGCAGCATGGCCACCACCGCTCGCCCGTGCGCACACGACTCTGTGTTGTGCTGGGATACTCATCCCAGCAGCGTGCGCCGTGACGGTGTGGTGGGGCTTTCTCGTCAATGCAGATGTTGTGATTGTTGTTGGCTGTCATCAAGCTCATGGGTCTCAGAGTGGATGTGGGCACTCTAAACGGACAGGACACGGTTGCCAGAGGGAGACTTTGCAGCAGTGAGGATTGGTGACTGTACCGTGCTGATGAGTCCTGGTGATGATGAAACCGGTCCACTGCGTCACCTGCTGCTGTTGCTGTCAGTCAGTCACATTCGCTCACATTTATTGTGGTGGAGACCTAGCAAGATGCCTACAATGCAGTTCTTGAGGCACTGCTGATGGGGTTGTTATTGTTCATAGAGCACAAACGCGCGAGTCGTTGTACACTTTTCCCGTGTGCTGTTCACAGGCAGCAGGCAAGCGGGTTTCCACCCTGAGTCACATTTAAGACATTTTTTGGCAAGCTCCTTTTATAGATTTTTATTGATATCATAAGCCGTAGATACGACGTTGTCTTTTAACCCACATGCGAATCAAACAGCTTTACATATTAAGTCCCTAAATCTGATGTCTACCATCATCACATCAGTAGCTGACGCGGCAATATCTTTTTTCAGTAGGCTGACTAATCCCTGACTTTTAGACGACATCTCCTGAGGGCACAGAGGACGGCTCCTCCCAACCAAGAGGAACCCCCATTCCAGAAGACATTCTTCTGGACGTCTTTTAACGTGAGCTTTACCCAGAGACTTGCCTGGAACTCTCTATAGACCTACCTATACCTACACAGAGACCTGTCTAAAACTACCTGGGTTTTCACCTGGAGCTGCCTGCCCTGGGGGGGGGGGGGGGGGGTAGCTACCGTGAGGTGAAGCCTCGTCCTTGCCTGGACTCGTCTCTGCAGGCCCCGTATGACCTAGCCTAGCCTAGTCCAGTGTCCGACCCCGTCCTCCGCCTAGCAGCCTGTATCTTGCATGCGCCCAGGGCACACCAAACGCCTCGGAGCAGGGGTTTCCCGAGTCTGGAGGAGACCCTCTAATGGTAGCCATTGGGAACAAGAATAAGACCCTTCCATGATTCTACAGAGCGGTGGGCAAAGGTACTTGAAGGCAACTTATTAAGGACGTCAAGATGCCCAGCGCCATCCCTTGTCTGTGTTTGGTTCCACTGGGTTGTTATAATTCTAGGCCTCACGCTCCACAGACAGCAGCCATCATTCCACGTTCATTTTGTACATGAATGTAGCATTGTTACCCTTGAGCATTCAGTTTCTCTCATTTGCTTTGGTCTGTCCTGGTAAGACATGGGGAATAGGCGAGATACGAGAGAGGTGAGAGAGGTGAGGAATCAAGTGAGGCACAGGAGAGCGTTGAGGTGAGGGACCAGGTGAGGCATACATGGGAGGTGAGGCAACAGGTGATGGACTAGGTGAGGAGTATGGAACAGGCGAGAGATGGGGCATCGGGTGAAGCACAGGTGAGAATTAAGGTGTGGAACCAGGTGAGATGCGTGGGGGTGAGGCACCAGGTGAGGAGAAACAGGTGAGACACAGGTGAGGCAAAGGTAAGGAGTGAGAGACCAGGTAAGGCGGCAGCATCAGAACACGAATCTGGAATCTCATCCTAGGCTCCGTGACGTCATAACTAATCACCATGTTACCATCATCACCATGAACATCTTTACGATTATCATCATCAGTAATATTATCATGTTTAACGTCATAATATTCGCGTTAAACATCAACATCAGCGGCACGTTGAAGTCGGACACGGCCGGCACGCGTGGTCAATTGGTACGCTGCATTAATTAACTCGGATGTCGCAACTCCGTGACGTCACCCGTGTTATTTGCGGGGGCGTGGGGAGAGGTGTCACCCCCCCCCCAAACACCTCCACCACCGCCCTGATGAAGGGCTACCACGTGGGGGTGGGCGAGGGGGGGTGTCAGTGTACGGGCCCCGAGGGCGACTTGAGCGCGTGGTAGCCCAGACTCCCGCCCCCCCCAGAGCACGTGACGCCCTCCAGAGGGGTCGAGCAGGGGGGGTCCTCCACCCCTCCTCCCACAGCGGAGCCCCCCTTCCCGGAGCAACGCAGAGCGAGGAACTTGAGGCGGCGGCGACTGGCAGAAGGAGCAGGGGTGGGGGGGGGGGAGATGTCACGTGAACGGGTGTCATGTAGTCATGGCTTTGTCATGAAGGTATGGAGTTGTGTGATGAGGTGTATGATGAGGTGTGAGTGTGTGACGAGGTGTGAGTGCGGTTAGCGTGCTGCGCTGCGAACCGGGCGACCCGAGTTCGATTCCCGCTCACGGCCGACATCATTTGCGATCATCTGAGTCGATCCTGGGCCTCCCCTAGATCGACTCAGCCTCAAATGAGTACCTAGTATGGTGTGTAAACATCGCCACTGGGGAGACATAGGCGGCCGGGCATGGTTCTATCCACCCACCCCCTCGTGTGCCATTCTGGCCTTCATAGTTGCTCGCTAACAGCACTTGTCCCAACAGTCTGTTAAGGCTATACGGGTGATCTTTGTCTTTGTAATGAAGTGTGAGTGATGAGGTGAGGTCCTCGTCCTCACCAAGTGTAGAGGAACACGGAGGCCGTGATGAGGGTCAGGAAGCCAAGGAACGTGGCGAGGATGAAGAGGTTGGAGCAGAGGAGTTTAGTACACTTTGGAGGACCTGCCACACCAGGCCACACCATACCAACCACACTTTACAAACCACACCGCACCAACCACAACTCATCAACCACATCATCCACACCCATGATGACGATGGTGACGATAATGGTGATGATGATGGAGATGGAGATGCTGATGGTGACGATGACAGTGATGATGCTGATTGTGACGATGATGATAGTCACAATGATGATAGTAACGATGATCAAATATGTTACCTGTTGTTAAGCACTCCCCCCACTCTCCGCTGGGCGATGCGGTTAATATCCCGGCCGTCGTCACATTTTCTGAGGTGGTGGTTTCTGTGCCACCACACGCAACCACACACAACCTTACACAACCACATGCAACCTCATACAACTACATGCAACCACATGCAACTTTACAAAACTGAACTCAACCACAGACAACGATTCATCCATATACCCTGAGCCTTCACTCAACAACTCACTCACCCACTCACCACACTGCAGGTAACATCACTTCTCTCTCCGTTTCTTCCCTCTCACTGCTTCACGTTGGAATTTCCTCCCTTCATCTCTTCCACCCCCACAAGTTGTTGTAATAACCTCGCTCAACGCTGTCTGTTGCTGGCCACGTACGTGCTCGGCAACTTTGATAAAAAATAAAAATCCGTAGCACCACCACCAGATGGCGCACAGCTCACAGAGAAGGCCCTTGCCGATAACATCTGGCAGTCCACCAGCACTGGTTCCGATGTGAGCCCGGCTTTGCTGATGAGACACTGAACCTGGAAACCAGTCCAGAATTTGCCTGTATTGTAGTCCCTCGGTTAACGTTTTTAATCCGTTCCACGAAAACTACTGCTCACCGAAATAACGGTTAATCCAATATGGGAGTCTGCAACATAACTGTTTCCACTGCCAAAACAGAAAACGTAATGTAAACAAAGCCAGTCGAGGTCTGAACGGGCACAAATGGGCGTCGCTGATTGGCTGAGGCATCCTCAGCCCACGTACGAGCGCTCGGATTGTAAATTGGCGCCCGCGTGCATAACGTAAACACGTTACCGCTAGACAAAATGTTAACGTTAGTCGAAACCATGGGGTCCTATGGGAAGCAAAACGTGAACCGAAAAACCGTTAACCGATGTCCCTGTTAACCGAGGAACTCCTATATTGCACCGATACTTCTGCGATTATGGAATTGCAGTAGGGAGGCAGTGTGGCTGATAGGATGGGTAAAAACTTGATTCATGGATTCAGATAAACTCTTGACTCTCACTAAAACACGCAGTGGATCGTGCATTTGAGAATCTAGGGAGACGAAGGTGGTCGGGTGTGGTGCCTGCCACACCGCCCCCTCGTGCGCCATCCTGGCCTTCATCGGTGCTCGCGCACAGCATTTGCCTCAAACAGCCTGTGTAGACCACACGGGTGATCTTTGTATCGGTGTGTTTTGTGGTAGTGCTGTCATAATAGTGGCCCGAGTTCGATTCCTGGCCATGGCTATTGATAATGATCTGAACCAGCCATAGGCCTCGCCTAAGTCGAATCGGCCTTCGTAGGTGCTGCTCGCAAACAGAACTTGTCCCCACAGCCTGTGCAGGCTACACCGGAGACCTTTATATTCTAATCTAATCTCTTACGTCTTTACGGCGTTGGCCGAAAGGTTCCAGCTATTCGCAGAGCCTGACATTATGTCTAAAGCATTCCAAGGGCGCCCCCAGTGGCAGCTAAACCTGTGCAGCACAACCGTCATCGCTGTGCAGTTGATGCCGAGCGTGCGATACCAATTCAGAGATACTCTTGGACTTTGTACAACTCTTCGACTTTGTACAAATTCCGATTTGTGACGCTCTCGGGAACGACGTCACGGGATCTTTAACGCCCACCGCAAGCGAAGTGGCAAGTATTAACGTCACGGTCAACACACCGGACTCGAGTATTAATCGGGGTGGCCTGCCAAATTTACAAGCGCGGCGGCGCAGATGAGCGTCTCCACCGGGACAGAACTGACCGACCCAGGGGCTCCCGGCACCGCTCCACTCGCCCCACCCGCTCCACTCGCTCCACTCGCCCACGTAGCGGTCGCGCGCCGCCACCTCGACGAGCAGCGGCGCGCCGGGCCGAGCGTCCTTCACCAGGAAGCGCGGCTCGTCCACCCCGTCGTCCAGCTGGGGCCGCGTAGGAGGGGCAGCGGGGGCAGGCACCGCACAGGGAAGACACGCGGAGACACGCGGTAAGACGCGGTGACGCGCAGAGTGGCGAACTGAACGCAGAGACCCGTAGAGTCACGGAGAAACATGCAGAGAGACACAGATACGTGGGCATTTAGAAACGTAGGGAGACGTGCTGACACACAGAGACACTGACACGCACAGACATTTTCCAATCCACTGCGGGATGCAGGCTTTCCTACCCAGTGCAGGGCTTCCTTTCTCTTTCCCTATCCCTCCCCCATTCCCCCTGCCGGGTCTCCCCCCCCCCCACTCACCACCCTCCATGTTCCGTACTGCGGGTGGCGCGAACGCACGACGTACAGCAGCTGGAACCCGGAGTCGTTGGGCCACGTGGGGGGCATTTGCCACGTGACCAGCAGTTGGCGCGGCTGTCCGGACACGGGTGTCACAGTCACCCCGATGGGGGGGTCCGGCTTCACTGCAGGGATGGAAAGGGGGGAAGGGGTGGGGGGATTTTTCATGAAAGAGAAGGTGGGGAGCAGAGGATTTATACATGGGGGAATGTAGGAGTACAGGAGGAAGAGATAACATGGGGCAGCAGAGGGAGAGACTGATCTGTACACATGGGGAGACACGGGGAGAAGGGGGAGACACTGCCAGACCAGCTCCAGGACACCCCGTCTACCCCAGGGCCCCCCCCCCCACGTACCAATGGAATCGAGCAGGAAGAACGTGGTGGCCGTGCGGCTGTGGCCATAGGCGTTGATGGCCCTCGCGCTCACGCGGTACCGGCTCGTGCTGAACAGCACCGGGTCGCGCACCGTGCAGGACCCCACCGTGGCGGCAGGAGGGGCCCCTGTGGAGGAAGCCCCGGTGGGGGGGGCCTCGGGGGGGCACGGCAACTCCAAGCCGTTGGACGCGTGCCTGCACACGCCACGCGCACGGACACGCCGCGCGCACGGATGAGAAGGCAGACGGATGGATGGAGCGGCAGACGGATGAAGAGATGGTGCGGACAGGCCCCCGGTGCTGGACTCACCAGTACGTGGCGACCACGGTGTCGGCTAGCCCCCCTGGCACGCTCCAGGAGCAGGTGAAGCTCTCGGGGTAACTCCGCGAGCGGCAGCGCAGCACGGGCACCGCGGGGGGCTCTATGCCAGGACACAAAAACCATCACCACCATCATCACAACCATCATCACCACCACACCATCACAACTACCATCACCACACCATCACAACTATCATCACCACCAGCCACCATCATCACCACCACCACCATCACAACCATCACGACCACCATCAACAACAATCCAGGCAGGTGCTTAGTTTTAGTGAGGCTGATGGTAAGACCCCACCTCTTCGTAGCATGCTCCAGCTTCAGCAGCAGTGCCTCTAACTCCTCTGAGTGAGCAGCAATCACCAGATCATAAGCATATAATAGGGAGCCATCCCTCGACCGCACTCGGGCATGGCTCAGCCTCGCACTGTATCTGTACCAGATGAAAATTCCTCCAGTACAGTCATGGAAGGCTTCCCAAACTACGTGGTCAAAGATGATGTTAAATAATGTAGGCGCCAGAGGATATCTCTGGCGCACCCCCAGGTGACAAAAAATGGCTCCGACTCCCAGCCATGCAGCTTTACCCGGGCATGTCCACCATCATGAAAGTCCTTAGTGATTGTGAGCAGGGACTGATGATATCATAGGTCTTGACCATGATAATGAAGCAGATATGTAGGTCCTGTTTGAATTCCCGACACCTCTGCTGTAGCAGACGGACAGAGAATATGGTATCTGTACAGAACCACCCTGGCCTGAAAACACATCGGGGCTCCACAAGCCTCTCCTCAGCGTGCCTGGGAAGGCGATGTTGAATAATCATTGGCAGGATCTTTCCTGGCACACTGAGGAGGGAGATGCCCCTGTAATTGTAGTTTGTGCAGACCTCCTTCTTAAAGAGGGCGGGTCACTGGGGCATCCTTTCAATCTGGCGGAATCCATCCAGTGATCCAGAATGTTATGATGTCATATAGGGCAGTCTGCACACAAACGCCACCCTTCCTCAGCAGTCCGCTTGGGTGATCATCTCTGCCCGGCACTTTTCCTGGTCTCAGACTCTGGATCACCTTCAGTACTTCCTCAACAGATGGCACTTTAGCCAGCCACTCACAGGGGGTGACTACTTCTTCCAATATTTGAGGCACTGCAGCCTCAGCAGGGTAATCCTCACGTTGCCCCATGATGTTTTCCAGGCTGAGGGATCCACAGTAAATCTAAAAAGCCTGTTTCTGGGGGCTGGAGATTGGGTCACCTTTCTTTCCGCGAAGGATGGCGATAGGTGCAGTGCTGCAAGTTACATTTTTCATCGAGTTCAAGAGTGATTTGTGATCACGAGCTACTGAGGCAGATTACATCTGCGGGAACAGCGTCTTGGTAATTACAAGCATATGGACTCCACAGAAGTCTTGCATCTTCCTACCATTATTGAGCTGATCTGGCCCATGCCTTCCAATCACTCCAGCCCAGGTGCCTGCGTCATGACGTACTCGGGCATTGAAGTCACCCAACAGGATGACTCTATCTCGAGAGGCCACTTTAGCTATCATCTGTGACAGGATGTCATAGAAGGCATCTGACTCATCAGCTTTGCCTGCATCCCTCCACTTATGTTCGTGTTCAGTGGGGGCATAAGCCACCACAACCACCATTCCTCACCGCCATCACCACCATCTTCACCATCACCATACCATCACGACCTCCACCATCACCACCATCATAACCACCACCACCACTGTCATCACTTACTCCCCATCCGACCCCCACTCAACTCCCCCTTGCCCCCCCCCCCTCACCCACCCGCACCCCCTCACCTCCGACCCTGAGCTCCACCACGTCCAGGAGTGTGGAGGTGCCCCACTCCAGGCACTCGTACTTCCCAGCCTGGGTGGCGCGCACCGATTGCAGCACCAGCACGGGGGGGCTGGGCAGTGGAGGGGGGGGGGGGTCATCGGGTTAATTAGTTAATTAGGGGGAGCTGTGTATGTGCATGTTTCTGTGTGTGTGTGGCGGAGCGGAAGTGGAGTGGTAAGCGCGTTTCGCTACGAGCCCGGAGACCCCCATTTTAATTCCCTTAAATGGCCACCAACATCGGTGACGATTATCTGAACCGGTCCTGGACCTAACCTAGGTCGACTCAGCCTTAAATAAGTATGCGGTGTGGTGTGTAAACTTCAGCACAGGGGAGACAAAGGCAGCCTGGCGTGGTGCTACCCGCCCACCTTCTCGTGTGCCGTGCCCGCCTTCATCGGTTGGCGTTGATATGCAGACTGCCCTATATGACATCACAACAACAGTCTGGACCACTGAAAGGGTTCCGCAGGATTGGAAGGATGCCCTGGTGATCCCCCTCTTTAAGAACGGGGAACCACACAGACTGTAACAACACTTATTCCAACAGTTTGTTAAGGCTACAAGGGGGATCTTTGTCTGTGCGTGTACAGTACATGTGTGTGTGCTGACCCGACGGTGGCGGCTGTGGGGTCAGGGGGCGCGCCCCCCAGCGGGTGGAGTCGCCAGGTCACACGATGCGCACTCGCCCTGCAGCTCAGGTTGACGGAGTCTCCAAGACGCACGTGGAGTACAAGGGGCCCTGCCAAGCGACACGACCATGCCCTTCATCATCATCATCATCACGACCATGCCCTTCATCATCACCACCATGGCCATGCCCTTCATCATCACCACCACCACGGCCATGACCTTCATCATCACTACAGCCATGCCCTTCATCATCATCATCACGACCATGCCCTTCATCACCACCACCACGGCCATGGCCTTCATCATCACTACAGCCATGCCCTTCATCATCATCATCATTGCCACGGCCATGCCCTTCATCACCACCACCACGGCCATGGCCTTCATCATCACTACAGCCATGCCCTTCATCATCATCATCATTGCCACGGCCATGCCCTTCATCATCATCATCATTGCCACGGCCATGCCCTTCATCATCATCATCATCATCACGGCCATGCCCTTCATCACCACCACCACGGCCATGACCTTCATCATCACTACAGCCATGCCCTTCATCATCATCATCATTGCCACGGCCATGCCCTTCATCATCATCATCATCATCACGGCCATGCCCTTCATCACCACCACCACGGCCATGGCCTTCATCATCACTACAGCCATGCCCTTCATCATCATCATCATTACCACGGCCATGCCCTTCATCATCATCATCATCATCACGACCATGCCCTTCACCTTGTGAGGGTTGGGGTTGGTGAGGGGGGCTCCCCGTCGTGAGGGGGGCAGCCCTCGCGTCCAAACGTAGCTCCTGGGCGGGGGTCGCGAAGCCCGAAGTGACGAGGAGGAGGGGGAGGAGGAGCAGGAGCATGGACATCTGTGGAGAGAAGGGGGGGGGGGCCTGTGGGTGAGGCGGTGGGTAGTGCCTCCTTGGGTTTGTGGTTGTGATGTGGTCTTGTGTGTGTAAAGGGAGCGGTGGCACAGTTGTTCAGGGCCGGTTCCCGAGTTTCACTCTTGCTCACGATTATCTGAAACCGGCCTTGGGCTTCCCCTAGGTCGACTCGGCTTTAAATGTGTACCTGGAGAGACAAAGGCGTTCTCACCTGGTCAAATTAGGTAACTAGAGTCTCGTGGCTCTTTTTCAGGAGGAACCTGCCAAGTCCTCGGAGCAGCGGGTCGATGGTTGTTGTTGTTGCTGCAATTGACCTGTCTGCAGGTATATTTCTCAAATGTGGAGCATGTGTATCGGTGTGTGTGTACATATATATACATAAACTGCGTACTCTGCTGTGGTTGTGTAGCCGAGTATTATGATAGGCTATGATGAAGGATCATTGCCCAAAATGTAGCTATTTTTATTTTAAGATTTCACACACACGCAGCGTTATTGAGGAATGTGTTTGGAGTGTGTGTGTGGCTGTACGGTGTAGCTGAGTGTGTGTGTCGGCAAAGTGGTGAACACAGGTGGTGCATCTGTCCTACTGGACAGCTGTGAAAAAGAGCGTTACAGCTCAACGGATTCCTCCAGTATAAATACATATTCTGATTCTGAAAATATATTCTGTTTCTGATCTGCCAGTCATCTCGGTCGGTCAACCCATGGCACCTGGGTCTGTCCTGTGACCAGGCAGCGAGCCTTGGATACTTCACGTGGCCTCAAAGTGCACTTGCCCAGGCACAAGCACCGTGGTGACGTCACCGCCACTTAGTGGTGAACGTCGGTGGTGGTTGTGGTTGTTGTGATCGTGCCATTGGCCACGTGGAATGTTCAGGCTCTCGTTGCGGAGGAGAGGCTGCCACTCCTGCCACTCCTCTGTCGGGAGATGGACTGGTTCTGCGTGGACCTTTGCGGAATACAGGCGGATTCGGTGGACCGATTTTGGCTCCAGTCATGATGAGAGGTGGACAGTTGCCCACTCGGGGCAGGAAACTACAATAGAATGAAAGTGGTGTGGAAGCGTGGTGGTGAGGTGTGGGAAGCTGTAAGTCCCAGGCTACTGTGGGCTCACCTCCCTATCAACAAGAGGTGAGGAATGAGGTGGTTGCTTATGCCCCAACCGAAGATGAACAACAGTGGAGGCCGTTGAGTCAGATGCCTTGTTTAACCTCCTGTTCCAGGTGCTAGCTAAAGTGGCCCCTCGGGATAGAGTCATCCTGTTGGGTGACTTTAATGCCCGACTTGGTCATGATGCTGGCACCTGGTCTGGCATGGGCCAGATCAGCTCAATAATAAAGTAAGGAGGCTGCTCGAAGTCCAGGGGCTTGTAATTACGAACACACTGTTCTGATATCGGCGCATGCACACAACATCATGGATGCACGCCGGGTCCAAGCAAGAACATATGCTAGATTATGTAATTATAGACCAGTGGATGCGGACTGATGTCCTTGACACCAGGACCTACCATGGAGCTGATCTGCCCACTGACCATCGACTTGTCATCTGTAAAATGCTCCTGCCATTCTTCCACTCCAGTGGTGGGTGTCCATCTAGGACCCCATTCAAACCTACAGTGGCCTGGTCTCAGCTAGCTGAGGATAGTTGCAAGCAGGAATTTCAGCTGGGGTGAGCATCGTGCCCTCTCCTTCTGATACTGAGGGGAAATGGGTGAGGTTCAGGACTGCGGCTCTTGCAGCTGCAACAGCTGCATTGGGTATGCGGTCCAGACCTCCCCAGAGACCCTGGCTGAAGGAGGAGATGTTTTGGCTGGTTGAGAGAAAACGACAGGCCCACTCCCATCGTCTACAAAATCCAACATCGGAGAATGAGGAGGCTTACCACAGCCTTCGCTCAGAGATTCGGAGAGCCGTGCGGCGCTGCAAGGATGAGTGGTGAGGGTGGGTTGCTGAGCAGATAGAATCTGTCTCAATAACCTGCAATTACAAATCAATATTTAATTCCATCAAAAAAGTAACTTGCAGTGCCTCACCTATCACCATCTTTAAGGGAAAGAATGGTAATCCGATCTCCGACCCCCAGGAACAGGTCTGCAGGTTTGCAGAGCAGAAGTAGCCACCCCTTCTGAATGGTTGGATGAGGTGCCATTTGTGGAGAAAGTGCGAGGGGCAATCCGAAGTCTGAGACGAGGAAAAGCGCCGCGTGCAGAGACGATCTCCCAAGCGAAATGCTGAGAGAGGGTGACATCTGCGTGCAGAGACGATCTCCCAAGCGAAATGCTGAGAGAGGGTGACATCTGCATGCAGAGACGATCTCCCAAGCGAAATGCTGAGAGAGGGTGACATCTGTGTGCAGACTGCCCTACATGACATCTTCACAACTGTCTGGACCATAGGACGGGTTCCACAGGATTGGAAGGATGCCCTAGTGATCCCCCCCTTTAAGAGGGATGACCGCACAGACTGTAGGGGTATCTCTCATCTCAGTGTACTGGGAAAGGTCCTGGAAAGGATTATTCAACATTTCCTTGCCAGGCAAGGAAATTGTTTCAGATCAGGGCGGTCCTGCACGGATGACATATTCTCTGTCAGTTTGCTACAGCAGAGGTGTAGAGAATTCCAACACGACCTACATCTCTGCTTTATTGACCTGGTCAAGGCCTATGATGCCATCAACAGGCCTGGGCTGTGGGCAGTTCATCGTGTTTCGAAGTCCCTGACCTGCTGCTCCCGATCATTAAGGACCTTCATGATGGTGGGCAGGCTCGGGTAAAGTTGCGTGGCTAGGAGTTGGAGCCATTCCCTATTCACCTTGGGGTGCGACAGAGATGTCCTCTGGCTCCCACATGATTTAAGATCATCTTTGACCACGCAGTTCGAGAAGCTTTGCATGGCTGTACCAGAGACATTTCCACGTGGTACAGATACAACGGGAGGTTGATCGATGATCGGGTGCAGTCGAGGGATCGCTCCCTATTGGTCAACCACGCTATGTATGCTGATGATCTGGTGATTGCTGCTCACTCAGAGGAGGAGTTGGAGGCGCTGTCGCTGAACCTGGAGTGTGCGACTAAGAGGTGGGGCCTTATCATCAGCCCCACCAAGACCAAGCACCTGCCTGGGTATTTTGTGCCACCAAACACTTCACCCCCTCAGCTGTCCATTGGTGATGGGGCAGTTGTGTAGAGAGTGGAGAGTTTCCTATACATGGGCAGGGTGCTTATGACTAGCTCCGGTTTGACAGCAGTCGAGCAGCATTATCTTTTCATCTTTTGTGCAATGCTGTGTGGAAGCTACCCGGTCTGTCGCTCTGCATGAAGTTTTGGGTCTTCTCGACCACAGTCATCCCCTCCCTTTACTATGCTTGTGAAACGTGGACCCCTCTAATGGAACATCTGCACTGGTTAGAAACATTCAGGCTGGCATGCCTACGATCCATCCTGGGTTTAACCAGGCTGAATTGTGTGAGGAGTTCACAAATCCTTGAACGATCTGGACACATTCCAATCAGTGAGCTCCTCAAGGCAGGCAAGGCTGCGTTGGCTGGGTCGTGTACCCCGCATGCCCAGCCACCGCATGCCTAAACAGCTTCTGTTTGGTCACGTCGAGGGGACTGAACGGGCACGATAGGGGCTGGAGTAGATATGTATTGATGCAGTGTGAGAGGATGTGGATCTGAGTGGACTTGCCGACAACTGGTACCAGCGGTGTCAAGATCCGACTCTATGGAGGAGGCTCGTGAAGGACGCTGCTACTGAGCGGTTAGAGGCAGTCGCCCTCCAGCAACAATGGAAGGCAGAGGAGCGACATAACAATGAGCGGAGCGCCGGGCGGATAAAATATAACAAGTTGGCACAGTAGAGGGTACAGCTGGTGCATCTACCGGTCATCTCAGTCAGCCAACCCCTGGCACCTGGGTATGTCCCGAGACCTCCTGTCAGCGAGCCTTCGACACTTTACGTGTCCTAAAAGTGCACCTGGCCTGGCACAGACTCCATAGTGACATCACCGTCACTTAGTGGCGAATGGAGGGTATTGGTATTGGATTTGTATTGTGCGGTTGTGAGTCTCCCACACCACAGAGCCCACTCCGCTCTCCCCCGACGACACAGCTCCACGCCGCGCTCTGGTTCTTATCTCATCAGCCCCCACCCCACAGCCCCCTCCCCCCCTTCCCGAGGCCCCGCCCCCCCTTCCCAAGGCCCCTCCCCCCTCTCTCAGGGCCCTCCTCATAGGGCCTCTCCCCTAGCATGCAACTCTTACATGAACTGAATTAATGATTAAGTGGGGAGAGAGTGACAGGAAGGAGAGTGTGACGGGAGATGGAGAGTGAGAAACGGGGTGGGACAGGAGGGAGAGGGCGAGGGGAGAGTGACAGGGCAGAGAGTGAGTGCATGGAGTCTCTGCTGATGTTGTTTCCTGGAATGGCTTTGTTTAGAAGCAGGGGGTTAGACAGAGTGGGAGGGGAGCAGGGGGTGGGGGTGAGCAGTCCTCAGTACAGTAAATGGGTTGACTAATTGAGAGCGATTCGTTTGCACTTACAGTACTCTGTAATTGTACATCATTCCCGAATGGATGTATTTTAACGCCCGTGTCGATATAGCGCCCAGAAGGGGTCACGCGAAACCATCACAAACACATCCTCCACGGGGCGGGGTCGGGCAGAGACGTCCCGTCCTCTTGTAGGGTCCTAGGACGAGAGGGAGGAGAGGGCAGGGGAATCACGAAACTCCCCCCTCTCTCCGCTGTCTCTCCTCGTTCTCCCATCTCTCTCCCCACCCACTATGTCATCCCTCCTGCCTCCTCTCTCCCATCAGCTCCCTCTATTTTCCATCTCCCCCCCCTTCCCCTATCATCTCTCTTATGAGGAGGGGGAGAAGGAATGGCCGGCCCAGATGTTGGGGATCAAGAAGAGAGTGGTGGTGGTGATGATGAGAGGGTGGTGGTGATGATGATGAGAGGGTGGTGGTGATGATGATGAAAGGGTGGTGGTAATGATGATGAAAGGGTGGTGGTGATGATGATGAGAGGGTGGTGGTGATGATGATGAAATGGTGGTAATGATGATGAAAGGGTGGTGGTGATGATGATGAGAGGGTGGTGGTGATGATGATGAGAGGGTGGTGGTGATGATGATGAAAGGGTGGTGGTGATGATGATGATGATGAAAGGGTGGTGGTGATGATGAGAGGGTGGTGGTGGTGATGAGAGGGTGGTGGTAATGATGATGAAAGGGTGGTGGTAATGATGAAAGGGTGGTGGTGGTGATGATGATGAGCGGGTGGTGGTAATGATGATGAAAGGGTGGTGGTAATGATGATAAGAGGGTGGTGGTGATGATGATGAAAGGGTGGTGGTGATGATGAGAGGGTGGTGGTGATGATGATGAAATGGTGGTGGTGATGATGAGAGGGTGGTGGTGATGATGATGAGAGGGTGGTGGTAATGATGATGAAAGGGTGGTGGTAATGATGAGAGGCTAGTCGTGATGATGAGAGGGTGGTGGTGATGATGAGAGGGTGGTGGTGATGATGAGAGGGTTGTGATTGCACTGGCCGAGCCAGTGGGGGTGGGGTGGCACGTGCCCCCCCCCCCCCACAATGATCCGATCGAAATCCCTAATTTCGATCGGATCATTCGGGTGTATTAGTAATAAATCGGCATTTTGCGACCCCCACTGCCACTGTGTAGCATATTATAATGTGCCAGAGACTCGATGAGATGATAGGACAATAGTCTGAATCCATAAATGGCAATAAATAACGGCAAAGCAAATTTAAGTGACTCACAGAATTGTGCACAGTTGTGTATCCAGTACACGACTTCCCTGAAGGCATCAACACCTTCAGCGAGCGCGATGCCGATCACACAACGCGGTTCGAATTCGACTCTCGATCGATGTCTGCGCCATCGCCGCACACGCGTCGAATAAAAAGCAAGGGACAAGTCCTTACTAACTAACAAGTCCTTACTCACTAACAACTCCTTACTAACAACTATAATTTTTCATTGCTGGAGGGGTTGCCCCCCCTACCTGAAAATCCTGGCTCCGCCATTGGGTGGTGGAGAGGTTTGTTCAGTCGCCTGCCTCGTTACAGATCCAACGTCGACCCGCGCCGTCTCCTGTTCGTCGCCAGATGCTGGGCTACTGCGAAAACCTGGCAGGACCCTCCCAAAAATGAGTCTTGAGCCTCAGTCAAGGAGGGTTTCCCGGATAACCAAGCGTCATCATAATGGGTCTCTATGTGATCCCTGTGTAGTCATTTGGTTCTATGGGTATCTATGTCACTCTATGGGTCTCTATGCGAGTCTGTGGGTTCCCTGTATAGGTCAGTGTGTCTCTGTGTGAGTCTGTGGCTCTGTGAATGCCACTTCGTGCCCGTACTGATCGTGCGTGTGTGGGGGGGGGGGGGTATTAGACCATACTTCTCCCCGCTGGTTGCATGGGCTGGTGAGTGCAGAGCACATAGACGTGGGAGCTATAGTGCAGTACAACAAACGTCTGTGTTGCTGTGCTGATTGGATGCGTCTCCTCTCTGCCTCGAGGTCGGTAATAATCGCTACGCGGATCGCTGATGCATCCCCGTCGTCACCATCGCCACCACGACGACAACTCTCAAGAAGCCAGACATGCAAATAGGCACCGGGCCACCCACGCCTGACGCGGTCACTTCTCGGAATTGTAACGCCGATTCTGCTGCTGATTACGAGCGAGCATGGTGCACATTGGAGCCCCGCGTCGAACTGGGGAGCCGTGCGCTCACGGAGAGGCCCTCGCCTCGCAACACCTGCGGCACTTTCGCCATCAGCGGTTCAAGCGAGCCTCCGCTGATGAGACTCTGAATGTCGAATCCACGCCCGGAGATGGTGCTGGTGAGCGAGCCCGACTCGCCTGATGAGGCACCGAATGCCGAGAGCGGTGGAGAGTTACACCTGATGTGGGGATGAGTCGAATCGTTCACTTATCTATTCTGGGAATTAGTCTGGTTCACATCCCAAAGCTATATTTAACTCTGCACCTGGTGCACCTAGCCTGGCACGGACAGCCTTGTGGATGTCAGCGCCGCTGCGTTGCGAATGGGGGGGGGGGGGGTGGCGCAATGGTTAGCGCACTGCGCAATCGAACCGGGCCACATGAGATCGACTCAGCGTGGGGGAGAAAAAGGCGACCGGGCGTGGATATGGCCACACCACCCCTTCGTGTGTCGTTCAGGTCTTAATATGTGCTCGCTAACAGCATTTGCCCCACCAGCCCGTTAAAAGCTACACGAGGAGTGTGCACGCGTTATGGATTGGGGAGCGGCGGTGCAGTGTTAAGCGCATTACGCGAGGAACCCAGCGACTTGAAATACGACTCACGGCCAACGGTGGCGAATTACATCAGACCCGTTCCTGGGCCTTCCCTTAGATCCACTCGGCCTTAATGAAATTAGGTACTTGGCACCGCTGCAGAGACAAAGGCGGCCAGACGGGAGGCGCTCGTGCGCCCCCTTCACCCTGATGAAGGGCCTAGGCTGCACAGCACCTGTCCCAACAGTCTGTTAAGGCTATACGGGATATCTTTGTGTGATGGTGTGTGTGAGTGATGCGATGTATCCGTGTGTGATGATGTGTGTGTGATTGTGTGTGATGGTGTGTGTGAGTGATGCGATGTATCCGTGTGTGATGATGTGTGTGTGATCGTGTGTGATGGTGTGTGTGAGTGATGCGATGTATCCGTGTGTGATGATGTGTGTGTGATTGTGTGTGATGGTGTGTGTGAGTGATGCGATGTATCCGTGTGTGATGATGTGTGTGTGATCGTGTGTGATGGTGTGTGTGAGTGATGCGATGTATCGTGTGTGATGATGTGTGTGTGATCGTGTGTGATGGTGTGTGTGAGTGATGCGATGTATCCGTGTGTGATGATGTGTGTGTGATCGTGTGTGATGGTGTGTGTGAGTGATGCGATGTATCCGTGTGTGATGATGTGTGTGTGATCGTGTGTGATGGTTTGTGCGTCTGTATTTTGGTGTGTGATGGGGGGGGATTTGGGTGCATGTATTGGGTGTGTGTTGTGGAGTGTTTTGATGTATTTGTGTGTTGGTGTTTGTGTGGGTGTGCGTGGGTGTGTGTGAGTGGGTGTGTGTGTGTTTTGGTGTGTGTGTGTTGATGGTCCGGCAAAACAACCCCCTACCTCCTCGTGGGTGCTAGACGGCAACGCTGTGGTGAGCAGTGCCATGTTCGAACGCTCACTGCGGAGGGAAGGCTGTCATTCCTCAGTCGGGAGCTGGACCGGTACCATCTGGATCTCTGTGGTATTCAGGAGATCCGGTGGACTGGCTCTGGCTCCTGCCACCATGAGGGGTGGACAGTCCTCTACTCGGGGCAGGAGACTGCCAAACAACAGGGAGTAGCTCTTCTTCTGAACAAACGAGTGAAGGGGGCATGGGAGCGTGGCGGTGAGGTGTGGGAAGTGATAAGCCCCATGTTACTTTGGGCTCGCCTTCCCATCAACCAGAGGTGAGGAGTGGAGGTCATTGTTACTTATGCCCCTACCGAAGACGAACAATCGTGGAGGGATGCAGGCAAAGCCGATGAGTCAGATGCCTTCTATGACCTGTCACAGGTTCTAGCTAAAGTGGACCCTCGCGATAGAGTCATCCTGTTGGGCGACTTTAATGCCCGAGTTGGTCATGATGCTGGCACCTGGTCTGGAGTGATTGGAAGGCATGGGCCAGATCAGCTCAATAACAAGAGTAGGAGGCTGCTAGACTTTTGTGCAGCCCATCGGCTTGTAATTACCAACAGGCTGTTCCGGCATCAGCGTATCCACACAACATCATGGATCCATCCCGGGTCCAAGCAGGAATATCTGCTGGATTACATAGTGATGGAACAGCAGATACGGGCCCATGTCCTTGACACCAGGACCTACCGTGGAGCTGATCTGCCCACTGACCATCGACTTGTCATCTGTAAGATGCGCCTGCCATTCTTCCGCTCCGGTGGTGGGTGTACACCCAGGAGCCCATTCAAACCCATAGTGGCCTGGTCCCAGCTAGCTGATAAAAGTTGGAAGTGAGAATTTCAACATCACTTGCAGCTGGGGTTGGCATCGTCCCCCACTCCTGATGTTGAGGGGGAATGGGTGAGGTTTAGGACTGTAGCTCATGCAGCTGCAATGGCCGCGTTGGGTACATGGTCCAGACCTCCCCAGAGACCCTGGCTGACAGAGGAGGTGTTCAGGCTGGCTGAGAAAAAGCGACAGGCCCACTCTCATCGTCTACAGAATCCCACATTAGAGAATGAGGAGGCTTACCGCAGCCTTCGCTCGGAGGTTCGGAGAGCCGTGAGGCGCTGCAAGGATGGGTGGTGGTTGCGGATTGCTGAGGAGATGCCCCAGTGGCCCGCGATCACAAATCGCTATTTAAATACATCAAAAAAGTAACCTGCAGCGCCACACCTATTACCATCATTAGGGGAAAAGAATGGTGATCCAATCTCCGACCGCCAGGAACAGGTTTGCAGATTTTCTGAACATTTCTGTGAGGTCCTGGGGGAGGGAAAATCCCTCACCCAGGAAAACAACGTGGGACAAAGTGGGTATGACCCTACCAAGGCTGCGATGCCTTAAATATTGGAAGAAGTCACCCCCTGTGAGTGGTTGGCTGAGGTGCCCTCTGTTGAGGAAGTACTGAAGGCGATCCAGAGTCTGAGACCAGGAAAAGCACCGGACCGAAATGATCTCCCAAGCGAAATGCTGAGGGAGGGTGGCGTTTGTGCACAGACTGCCCTACATGACATCATAACAACAGTCTGGACCACTGGACGGGTTCCGCAGGATTGGAAGGATGCCCTGGTGGTCCCCCTCTTTAAGAAGGGGGACCGCACAGACTGTAACAACTACAGGGGCATCTCACTCCTCAGTGTGCCGGGAAAGGTCCTGGCAAGGATTATTCAACATTGCCTTGCTAGGCACGCTGAGGAGAGGCTTGCGGAGCCCCAAAGCGGTTTCAGGAAAGGGCGGTCCTGCACTGATTCCATATTTTCTGTCTGTCTGCTACAACAGAGGTGTAGGGAATCCAAAAAATACCTATATCTCTGCTTTATTGACCTGGTCACGGCCTATGATACCATCAATAGGCCTGGGCTCTGGGTTGTTATTCGTGCTTTCGGAGTCCCTGACCCTCTGCTCACGATCATTAAGGACCTTCATGATGGTGAGCGGGCCCGGGTAAAACGACGTGGCCGGGAGTCAGAGCCATTCCCTGTACACCTTGGGGTGCGACAGGGATGTCCTCTGGCTTCCACATTATTTAACATCTATTTTGTCCACGTAGTTCGTGAAGCCTTCAAAAGCTGTACCGGAGGAATTTCCATCTGGTACAGATACAATGGGAGGCTGATCGATGCCTGGGTGCGGTCAAGGAATGGCTCCCTATTGCTCAACCACTATGTATGCTGATGATCTGGTAATTGCTGCTCCCTCAGAGGAGTTGGAGGTGCTGCTGCTGCACCTGGAGCGTGCCACTAAGAGGTGGCGCCTTACCATCAGCCCTTCCAAAACTATGCACCTGCCTGGGTATTTTGTACCATCGGGCAACCCACCCCCACAACTCCCAATCGGTGATGGAGAACCGGTGGAGAGAGTGGAGAGTCTCCCATACCTGGGTAGTGTGCTTATGACCGGCTCCAGTTTATCAGCAGAGGTCTCACTCCGAATCAGTCGAGCGGCAATATCTTTTCATCGGTTGCGTAACGCTGTGTGGAAGCTACCTGGTCTGTCGCTCCGCACGAAGCTTCAGGTCTTCTCGGCCACGGTCATTCCCTCCCTCCTCTACGCTTGCGAAACGTGGACCCCCCTAATGGAGCATCTTCGCCGGTTGGAAACATTTAGGCTGGCCTGCCTACGATCCATCCTGGGTTTAACCAGGCTGGATTGTGTGAGGAGCTCACAAGTCCTTGAAAGATCTGGGCAAAGTCCCATCGGTGAGCTCCTCCGGCAGGCAAGGCTGCGTTGGCTGGGTCATGTAGCCCGCATGCCCAGCCACCGCATGCCTAAACAGCTTTTGTTCGGCCGGATCGAGGGGGCTAAACGGGCGCGGCACGGGCTAGAGAAGAGATGGAGTGATGTGGTACAGGAGGACGTGGAGCTGAGTGGACTTGCCGATGACTGGTACCAGCGGTGTCAAGATCGGCCTCAGTGGAGGAGGCTCGTGAAGGACGCTACTGGGCAGTTGGAGGCAGTCGCCCTCCAACAACAACGGAGGGCGGAGGAGCGACGCTCACAACAACGAGCGGAGCGCCGGGTGGCTAAAGCACAGCAAGTTGGTACAGTAGGGGGCACAGGTGGTGCATCAGCCAGTCATCTCGGTCATCTCGGTCAGTCGACCCGTGGCACCTGGGTCTGCCCCGTAACCTCCTGCCAGCGGGCGTTCGACACTTCACGTGGCCTCAAGGTGCACATGGCCTGGCACAAGCGTCGTGGTGACGTCACCGCCACTTAGTGGCGAATGGCGGTTGTTGTTGTTGTTGTTGGGTGGGTGTTGGTGTGTGTGTGACTGTGTGTGGGTGTGTGTGACTGTGTGTGTGACTGTGTGTGTGTGGGTGTGTGTGACTGTGTGTTGGTGTGTGTGTGACTGTGTGGGTGTTGGTGTGTGTGTGACTGTGTGTGTGTGGGTGTTGGTGTGTGTGTTACTGTGTGTGTGTGGGTGTGTGTGTGGGTGGATGTTGGTGTGTGTGTGACTGTGTGTGTGTGTGACTGTGTGTGTGTGTGGGTGTTGGTGTGTGTGTGACTGTGTGTGTGTGACTGTGTGTGTGTGGGTGTGTGTGTGTGACTGTGTGTGTGGGTGTTGGTGTGTGTGTGACTGTGTGTGTGTGGGTGTGTGTGACTGTGTGTGTGTGGGTGTGTGACTGTGTGTGTGTGGGTGTTGGTGTGTGTGTGACTGTGTGTGTGTGGGTGTTGGTGTGTGTGTGACTGTGTGTGTGTGGGTGTGTGTGTGGGTGGGTGTTGGTGTGTGTGTGACTGTGTGTGGGTGTGTGACTGTGTGTGTGTGGGTGTTGGTGTGTGTGTGACTGTGTGTGTGTGTGGGTGTGTGTATGGGTGTTGGTGTGTGTGTGACTGTGTGTGTGTGGGTGTGTGTGACTGTGTGTGTGTGGGTGTGTGTGTGTGACTGTGTGTGTGGGTGTTGGTGTGTGTGTGACTGTGTGTGTGTGGGTGTGTGTGACTGTGTGTGTGTGGGTGTGTGTGTGACTGTGTGTGTGGGTGTGGTGTGTGTGTGACTGTGTGTGTGTGGGTGTTGGTGTGTGTGTGACTGTGTGTGTGTGGGTGTTGGTGTGTGTGTGACTGTGTGTGTGGGTGTTGGTGTGGGTGTGTGTGTGGGTGTTGGGGTGTGTGTGACTGTGTGTGTGTGGGTGTGTGTGACTGTGTGTGTGTGGGTGTGTGTGTGTGACTGTGTGTGTGTGGGTGTGTGACTGTGTGTGTGTGGGTGTGTGTGTGACTGTGTGTGTGTGGGTGTTGGTGTGTGTGTGACTGTGTGTGTGTGGGTGTTGGTGTGTGTGTGACTGTGTGTGTGTGTTCACTCACGTCAGCGAGGGGGCAAGTCGGTTCCGCGGCTCCCTCGTGCCGTTGTCTTCTCTCCCCTCTCCAGCCTCTGCCTCCCTGTGCCCCACTCTCTCGCGTCTCTCTCCTATCTCCCGTCTCCCCCCCCCTCTCTCGTCACGCCTCGCTCTCACTCCCACTCTCTCCCCTCTCTCCCGCTCTCACTCCACTCTCTCTCCCCTGCAGCTTTGTTCAGATAGCGGCCCGGTGGACCGCGACGTCATCTACGCTGGGCAATGCCGAAGGGGTTGTCGATGTGATGGCCGATGCTGTATTGATGACGATGGCTTTGCAGGGTGATGATGGGAACGACGACGGTGGTGATGGTGGTGGTGTGGTGATGTCCTCGGCACGTGTGTGTCCGTCCGTGCGCTCGAGGGTTTGGTCGTCACCGCATGGGCCCGAGCTGTGATGGGAGGTGCAGGGAGGGGGTGGGGGGACCTCCCGGGCGGGGGGACCCCCCTCCCACTCTACCTCCCCCCTCTCCCTTTGCCCTCCCCTGCCCCCCACCCCCTCGTATTCATCAACGCTCCCGAGTTCCCTTTCGGATGGGAGCGTGCCCCGACAAAGATCTCCCGTACAGCCGACACAACGAGCATGGGCTCTACGCAGGCACACGGGGGGGGGGGGGGGGGGGTGCCCCGAACCGAGTGGCGACATTGACACGCCGCGCCGGGTGCTCATTTGACGCTGAGTCGACCTAGGGGAGCCCCACGACCGTTCAGGTATTCGTCCACCGGTGTTGATCATACGCGGGAATCGAACCTGGATCGCCGGGGTTCATAGCGTGCAGTCCGCTAACCACTGCGCCACCGCTCCCACAACACTCACTGGATGCAGAGCGAACACCGCCCATCCCGAACTAAACAACAACAGCAGCAGCCGCAGCCGTTCGCCACTCACTGCCGGCGACGTCCCCACGGCGCTTGTGCCAGGCTATGTGCACCTTGAGGCCACGTGAAGTGCCGATGGCTCGCCGCTGGCATGAGGTCACGGGACAGAGCCAGGAGTCCATGGGTGACTGACAGATGCACCCGCTGTTCTCTCCACTGTGCCAGCTTGCTGCGTTTTAGCGACCCGGCGCTCCGCTCGTTGTTGTGAGCGTCGCTCCTCTGCCCTTCGCAGTTGCTGGAGGGCGACTGCCTCCAACTGCCCAGTCGCGTCCTTCACGAGCCTCCTCCACAGAGGCCGATCTCGACACCGCTGGTGCCAGTCGTCGGCAAGTCCACTCAGCTCCACGTCCTCCTGTACCACATCACTCCATCTCTTCTCTAGCCCGTGCCGCGCCCGTTTAGCCCTCTCTGTCCGGGCAAACAGAAGCTGCTTGGGCATGCGGGCGACATGACCCAGCCAACCCAGCCTATGTCCAGATATTTCAAGGGTATGTGAGCTCGATACAGTCATCATGTCTGGTTAAACCCAGGGTAGACCGTAGGCAGGCTAGCCTGAATGTTTCAAATTGGCGTTTCGCAAGTATCGAAAATCGAGGGTATAACTGTGGCCGAGAAGACCCGGAGCTTCGTGTGGAGCGTCAGGCCACACACAGCGTTATGCTGCTGATGAAATATATATCGATCGCACGACTGATTTGGAATGAGACCTCCGCTGCCATAGAGGACGTCCATAAATGACGTCACGCACCTAGGGGGGGGGTGGTCAGACATTTGTGACGATGTGTGACGAGGGGGGGGGGGGGTGAGAAATGTGACGTCACATAAAAATGCGCAACTTTAAATAAATATAGACAACACGTTCTACTTAATTCAATAGACTTTTTAATAAATGTTTTCTTCTACAACATCAGAGTCCAGCGGCACATTAAATACGCACTACAATGACAATAGTTTAAAGCGATTTGAAGTATTTGGGGGGGGGGCAGAGCTTTGTGACGCCGTGTGACGAGGGGGGGGGGTCAAAAATCGTTCAAAATCGCGTGACGTCATTTATGGGCGGCCCCTTACCAGAACTGGTCATAATCACTCTGCCCAGCTATGGAAACTTACCAACTGCTTCCTTAACTGCCCCCACAACTCCTGGGTCTGCCCACCATCATAAAGGTCCTTGGTGATGTATGTGTAGGGCTTGAGTATAGCGCGCCACGCATCCCCCGCCTCTGTTGCTATGCGAGCAAGCACAGTACAGTGGGGTGATGTGAGGTAATGGTTGTTGTTGTGACTTTAGGCGAAGTGGGTCGTTAAGGGTTGAAACAAGTGTCAGGGTAGCCGGGAGGACACAGGCCAGTGATTGGCTGGAAAGGCAATTGGGCATTAGCTGGCGTCGCTCCGGCGGCGAAAACAAGGCCACGTGACACGGGGGGCCAGGGGGCGAGCGATAAGCGGGGGGGTAGAGATAATTAGGGAGATTAATTGGTGTGGGGATATAAGCCAGAGCGCAACGGAGAGAAGGGAGTCCTGTACGAGTCGGCGTCGTGGATGGAGCTGCAGTAACGGTGCCCGGGGAGTCGCAGAGCAAGTGATAGTAGAGTAAAGCACGGAGAGACAGTGGTAGCGAGAACGCAGTGAGCAACCAGGGTAGCCATGCATCGGAAGGATGCAGAGTAGGAGAAACCGTAGAGACGACAAGCGTAGCGACAGTGAGGTAGAGAGACGCGGAGCGACGCGGAGCGGA